AGCTTCTGGTTCTCTCTTTTGATTTTATATGGGAGTGGCCAATTTGCTTTTGTCTTCAGGAGTTCCCACAGAGGCCCAAGTCAGATGAGGATCAGATGCTCTCAGGCTTTCCCCCAGGGTCTGGATCCCTTCAGGAAAGATTTTGACCTTAGGAATTTGGGGGTTGGACTGGCCTGGGAGCAGGGCCCAGGAAAGATTCTGGTCTAGGGCAGCTGGTGGCCATGCCACCAAGTGATGAAAAGAGAGATGGGGGTGAGAAGAGGACCCAAGGGCTCCTGGGGACTGCACTGAGGAACTGGGATGGTCTGAATGCAAAGGATCAGGAAGAGGAAAGGTCAGCCCTGGTGTCCAGGAAAGAGGCTGGAGGGTTGTGCAGCCCAGGGAAGCAGAAGGAGGTGAGGGCAGGGCCAGGCCCAGGGGGCTCCTGGGGACCACAGAAGACACTGGGTTGGTCTGGATGCAAGAGATCTGAAAGCAGTGGTCATTCACCAAGTGTCTGGGACACCAAGACAAGGAATGGGACAGATCCCAGGCTAGGAGGAGAGAAGGGCAGGGTAGATGGGAGGGTGAATGAGGCTGGGGGAGTCAAGGCACAGAGGGCACGATTGACTGACCCCAGAGAGAGGCCTGCGAGTATTTTTTTAATGTTCAAATTCTTCTTTTTAATTGTATGTGGGCTCATGTAGCCCAGGATGACTTCAAACTATGTAACCCAGGATGACTTTGAACTCCTAGTCCTTCTTCCTCTACCTTCCACCTACTGAGATTACAGACATGTACACCCACACCCATTTTATGGATAGGTGATGATCAGTACTAGCTGAGTGTTTGCACGTCAGTTACTCCACCATCTCCAAATTCCTAAGACGTCTTAAGAAATGTATTTGGACCAAGATTTTAGATACCTCTTACATTTATTATCTCTATAATGTGTTTACCTATTTAGTGACTGACATTAAAAGAGAACATTATCCCTCCAAAACGATACCTTTAGGAAAGTAAAACCTGCAGTCGCTTTTGTCTTTTGTCTATTGTTTGCTCTTCTAGGTGGCAGCCTGAGGAAACCAACGAAAGTCTCAAGGATTACCAAGACGCTTTGCTTCAGAGTGACCTCACATTGTGTCCTGCAGGAGTGAACACAGAATGCTACAGGATCTATGAGGCCTGCTCCTTGGGCTCCATTCCTGTTGTAGAAGATGTAATGACAGCTGGCAGATGTGGAAACATGTCCAGCCACCACAGCACTTCTCTGCGGTTACTCAAAGCCATGGACGCTCCCTTTATCTTAAGAACTGGAAGGAACTTCCTGCTGTTTTAGAAAAGGAGAAAACCTTAAGTTTACAAGATTCAGAGAAAAATATTACTTCAGTGGTACCAACACTTTAAAACAGAACTAAAGTGGAAATTTACTAATACTTTAGAGCATCCACAGTCTATGAATAATAAGGGTCAATGCTAACTAGTCTCAACTACTGTGTCATTTTTTTTAAATCATATCTAGTCCTGAGTGTGCTAATATGTGTTTGTGGTGTTTGTTAAGGTACTTTAATACATTCTAGGACTTATTAAACTGAAGTAAGGTGCAAGTAACCATTTTTTTCACATGAAGAATTGAAAATTACAGAAGTACTGAGACATCTGAAAATGACTGATAAATATATTGTGCTTTCTATGTTTTCCATTTTGTAATTAAACATCCATGACATGGATACATTGCTGGAATTGCAGGCATGTGTTACTACATCTGGTTTATGAGGTGCTGGGGATAAAATGAAGAGATTTGTGCATGATGGGCAAGTAACTGAGCTATAACCCTAGCCAACCTAGTGTATATTAAATGCACACTATTTTTTAATCATTTAAAAATACTTATTTATTAATTTTTATTTTATGTATTTTGAGTGTTTTGCCTGCATGAATGTAAGTGCACCATGTGTGTACAATGTCCATAGATGCCAGAAGAGGGCCTCATCAGATCCCCTGGAACTAGAGTTACAGATGGTTTTAGCTGCTATATTGGTGCTGGGAAACAAATCTAGGTCCTCTGCAATGGTGCTCTTAGCCCATGACATGGACACATTTTTCATTACACAATGAACACTTAATTCTAACCAGCTCTAACAAGAAAGCATTTATTCAAAAAAGAAAAAAGAATATCAGCGTGGTCATGATTACAAGCACTAAATCCTTGTAAACAAAAGGGACTTGATAGAAAATCCATGTCCATGGTGGTGTGGGGCCTTTTCTGCCATGGTTCTAAGAGAGAAACAACCACGCTCTGCACAAACATACCTGTCCAAATGCTTTTATTCTTCTATAGTTCACTGCCTCTTGAGGCTCTTTAGGTCAGAAATAAAGTCTTGTAGAGAATACAGAGAATAATTGACAATGGGGTGCCTCTTTGCATTTCCTACTTATTTGGATTCGTGTCTTCTAAGAGTTTATTCATCTTGAGTGATTTATAAATGTCACAGGGTCGATGGGGTGCACTTCAAGTGAAATCCAACATTTACCACAGGCAGAGCAGAGTCAGCAAGGATCACACTAAGTCACCAAGAAACTTTAAAACCAAGGCTGCAGGGCACCCAGAAAAGACAAAGTTTATGATGTTATAGGTGAACCACAGCATCCAGTACATAGCAGTGGATGAATGGACTTTCATCTCTAACATAATATTTCTAAGAGATCACTTCACAGTTAACTGTGATGCTCTCAATTTTAATCATCTATGTCTACACCAAGGCTTCCTGCCAATAAATTATATATACAGGAAGAATATTGCTCTGGTTTCTTTCTGTCTTTTCTTTTGCAATGGGATCTCAGGTAGCTCAAATTGGCCTTAAACTTTCTATTAGCCCAGGCTAGTTTCTAACTCAGTATCCTCCTGCCTCAGGCTCCACAGAGCTATGATTGTGGATGATTAACACTATGCCTCGCTAGTGTTATCATCTAACTTCCTTAAAAACAACAATTTAGGACGAATGGAAATTTGTATGAACATGAATGAGTTCACATACTTTGTTAGAAAATGGAATTGCAACTCAGTCTTGTATTTTACTGATGAGCAAGGATCCAACTTGCTTGCTTAAAGAGTTTCCCTTTACTGCTCCATCAAAGAAAACGTTTGGCTCAGATTTTTCTCTCTTTCAAATCTCCTGTTTTGAAAGTCACATTATTTATTTCACCTAAGTGAGAACTGACTATATTTGAAGTTTATTGGTTTGTAGAGTGAAGTGGGGTGCTGTGATTGAGAGCAAGCTCTGGCATGACTTCCTGTTTGAATCCAGGCTCTTGTGAAGAACAGAGCTACACCTGGGCAGGATAGGGACCTTCTAGTCTCTAAGGAGATTTGTGGCCAATTGTGTGCCTTTTTATTCTGGGTAACTGTTATTTATTTTACTAATTTTTCTATTGACTTGCTTTTCTTTTTGAGTCATGGTTATGATTTTGAATTCCAATTCATCTTTAGTCACAGTCACTCCAAAAATCTCTTCTTTGGGACTGATCTTTCCTCCAATGCCCTCCAATGCCTCTGTGCCTCATAAGACCTCATACATGACACTTCTTACACTTTTCTGACTCACCAGTGGACAATTTCAGAGGGTCTCATAATGGAGCTGAGGCTGGCCTGGAAGTCATCGTCCTTCCTCAGCCTTAGTGCTGATTACAGGAATCATGACATCAGCTTTATATATTTAATAATGCCCTTCATTTGAATTATTTATTTATGTATTTATTTATTATTTTTCTGGTGTTTTGAGACAGGGTCTCCCTGGCCTGGACCTCACTATGTAGACCAGTGTGGCCTTGAACTCTGCTTCCCTAGTGCTGGAATTGAGGGTCTGTATCACCAGGTCCAGCTTAGGGTTTCTGATTTTAACCGGGATTGCCGCAGAAATGATGAATCTTTCTCAAGGCGCCCAGGTAGGTTAATGATAATATTTATCCCATTACTGCTAATGTATTCATTGCTTGGCAAGTTAGTGTCAACCAAGTTTCAAAACCGTAGCATTCTATGTTTTCTTTGTAAGTTCTAAGCAAGTTGTGAGGGGCTGCTTTGACAGCATGTAAATCTCATCAGTTTACCTACTAATTCTGGAAGCAGTGAGATCCCATGCTCAAAGACTATCTTTTGTTTCATATAATTGCACAGGCTAGAAGACACACCCTAAGAACCTAAAGTCCTAGTTGGGATGGGCTAGGTTGTACTGACATAAAGCAGTCCTCAAATCTCAGTGGCTCAAACACAGCAGATGCTTATCCCCTTGGCTTCCCTTGATAGTTGTCAGGGGTCTCCCTCTGCTCACTCAAGGATGTGAACTGACTGAGGCTCAACTTGACCCAGTGTCCCTACCTCAGGAGGTAGGAAAAGGATTAGGAGGAATTCTGCATTGGCATTTAAACATCTGTCTGGAAGAAACACACATCACCTGAGCTATACCTTCTTTGCCAAAATAAATCACATAGGTAACTCCATCTAAAGGAGTCACTGAGATTAATCCTACTCTGTGCTCAGCAGTGAGGAATGGGAATGTGGGTAAATGGTTCCCAGGACTCCAACCCTCTCACACAGACACCACCTCTCAGCCAAATGAAGAGTAATTGGATCCATTATTCCCAATCCTTTCTCTCTTTGTGAAGGCAGTGTTACACCTCTGCCCCTTTGAATTCCCTTGGGACTTGGGGCGATTTTGGCCTTTGGAAAATGGGCAGACTGTAACTGGGTGCTGGGTTAAGGAAAATGCTTTAGTTACTGGAGATGAATGGTGATGGGCAAGGACTCCATCATGCACCCAACACTGAAGCAAGATTTGTCAAACCACCTAACGACCTGAAACTGAACCTTCACGAGCCGTGTCCAGGGCAACCCTGGAAGTAAACATTCTTTCTGAGACGTGCTTCCAGCTTACTGGCTGTACCGGCAAATCTTGTCATCTTAAGGCGACTTAATGAGGACTTTGAGTGTAAGTGTCCAGGTTTCGGGTCCTCAGAGGGTCGATATGACCTGGCCCCGCCCTCCTAAAGAGGCACCGTCCAAACTCCAAGGACTTTTGAGTAGTGGGACTGGTGAACTGCCAAGGTACAAACAAGATTCAGCTGATTCATTCACCAGGTGGAAGACACTCTTCGCTGTGGACAGCTCACCTGGCTTCACACTTCGACTGACCCCAAGGCCCAAGGCGTCCTCCATTGATAAGGAGGCAATCTGAGCTCTAAATCCTGTGGACTAATAGGTTTCTGACCCAGGACCAATATGTCATTTGTGGATAATACATCTCCTGCCGGTATAAACGATCCTTCAGACATCAGGGTGCCAACAACCCAAGACCACCCACCCACAATCTGGCCCACCCTTGCTTTTACTTGGAAATAGGAAGGCTATACCACACCAGATAGCCATCACTTTAGCAAAGGTCGTCCAAGTAGTTCCTCCACATGGCAACCTCACCAACATCGAGGAGCCTAGATGAAGCCTGAAGATCCAGGGAAAGGACAAAAGAGCAAAAGCCAGGAAGAGGGAGGAGCCGAGGTGGGGTCTGAAGATCCTGGCAAGGCCAGGAAGTGGATGAAACTGGAACAGGGTGATACAGAGGTCCTGTGAGAAGAGCTTGGCAGGGGTCAGATATGGACACCTCAGGAGGAGGCTCTAATACAGCTAAAGCCTGAAGAGTGCACCAGCTGCCCTCAGGAAGAGGATGTCATTGAGGTGAAGTCTGTGGATGGTGGCAAGGGTCACAAGCGGCCCTATTGGGTCCTCAAAGAACGTGTTCAGAAACACCAAAAGGAAAAGTACCATCGACAAGGTGATCATGTCCACTGTGCCCCTCACAGTGCTCACACAAGCCCCAAGGCCACCTTGAAGATCCAAGGCTGTAGGGAAGGGCACATTCAGGGATCCAAAACAACTCAGTTCCATGCCAAACAATCTGCCTCTCTTGTCACAGGAGAGCATCACTTGTCAGTAAAGAGTGAAGGGTGGTGATGGGAGGAGAAAATTCCTGGCATGCAGAAGAGAGTTGTAATAAACCTTGAAAAGGAAGAGGGAAGAAGACACCACCTGGACTTTCTGGAAGGAACAGGGTGTTGGGGTCCTCTCCCAAAACAACTCAGTTCCATGCCAAACAATCTGCCTCTCTTGTCACAGGAGAGCATCACTTGTCAGTAAAGAGTGAAGGGTGGTGATGGGAGGAGAAAATTCCTGGCATGCAGAAGAGAGTTGTAATAAACCTTGAAAAGGAAGAGGGAAGAAGACACCACCTGGACTTTCTGGAAGGAACAGGGTGTTGGGGTCCTCTCTTATGCAAGTAGAAGTCTCTTCACATCCAGATAGCTCACGAGCTCGGAAACCATGTGCTGCAGATTCCTTTCATAGCAGAGTTCCTTCCTGGCATCCTCCCTGACTCTTCTTTTAAAGTGCTCGCCACAAATACATGCCCTCCGGCACAGGAGCTGCCAGGTTTTTAATCAGGTGTTGTCTGATAGCCTGATAGAAGCCCACCGCCCTATGTAAATGAGGCATCCTAAAAGTACCTATCAGCTAAGGCTTCTTCTGCTGTCTCTACACTATAAATAGTCCTAGTTTTACCCCAATAAAGTTGGAGCTGGATCACTTCACTCCGACTCGGAGCTGGATCACTTCACTTAGACTTGGAGCTGGATCACTTAGACTTGGAGCTGGAGCTGAATCACTGAGATCTGAGCTGAGTCACTTGTCTTGAGCTGTAACACTAAATCCTGTGATCCAGTCTCCCCAGGGGGCGCTATTCCTCCATTATCGTCCCACGGATACCCCAGCTTTCACTGCCTCCGTGCCTCTTCCCTGTGGAGTTCACTGGCCAGGAACTCAGCAATCCTGAGGAAAGGTACAAGGGTGTAATAGTGGCGGAATTCTGACTGGATAATACTCCTGTGGTCCAAGTGGCCAGTGGACCTCACATCCTGAGGAAGGTATACGGGTGAAATAGGGACAGGGTCGACTGAGTAGACCTCAGTAGCGGAGGAACTTTCACTGCCCAAGAGTGCACGCTGGGACCCTGAGAGCCCAGCGCGTGCTCGCCTATATCTGGCGCCACAATGTGGGGCTCCCCTGAACCTCGTGGGACCCTCTCACAATGTGGGACCCCCCTGAACCTCGTGGGACCCTCTCACAACGTGGGACCCCCCTGAACCTCGTGGGACCCTCTCACAATGTGGAGCTTAGCCTCTGAACTTCGTGCCAGCTAGGAGCTGGTGCCCCACAGGAACGCAAAGGATCCGTGAGTATCCCTCCTCCCCTTCAGGAGGGTAATCTAATCTCTTCCTCTCTTCTAAAATTTCCTCCTTTCCCTTTCCGGTCTAGAAGTCTTCACGGTTAGACAAAAGATTTTTTCTATCTGAATACTGCTAGAGAAAAACTCCCTAAAGTTCTGAGCTTTAGAGTCAGGCAGATTTTTCTAAGTCAGCTCTGTTATCCTGCCTCAGAGCATTTGAGTCACACCTACACCGGCTCAGTGAAAATTCAAATTAGCTAGTCCCTGCCAAACACCTAGGAATTCAGGGTGGTTCGTGGTTAGACAAAAGATTTAAAGTGAAACTTTTTTCCTGTAGCCTAAGGGCCGGTAACCTGCAAAAGCAGCTTTTAGACAAAAGATTTAAAACAGGCAATTTTTTTCTACAGTTTAAAACTCCTGCCTGTCAGAGCAGTGCCAAGTTACTGCAAAACATTTAACATCTTCTCTTTACAATGGGAAACTCAGAATCACGTCAAAAGAAAAGACAAATTCGTTCCCTTAAAATCCTACTTAAAACCAGAGGATTAAAAATTTCTAAAGAGGAAAGCTTAAAATTTTGGAATGAAGTGCATGGGTTTGCACCCTGGATCTTATCAGCAGACATATCTGATCCAGAGGTGTGGAACTTTCTTTCACATTTAGCATATAAGAAAGAAAGCCAAGAAAAGCATAATTTTCCTCTCTCCTTCTTCCCAATAATGGCAGCCATCCAGCAGTGTTTAAAAAACCCACCTAAAATTGAGAAAAATTTACAAATGCCAGAGAGTAATAAAAGGGAGGTTTTAGATGA